TGTTTGGAGGTTGGGGGGGATATTTTGCTCTGGGGGCAATGGGCGCAGCCTACAGGTTCTCGCTCCTGCCCTGGACTTTGAGCTTCTAGACCCTTCCGTTTCAGTCCCATTAGCCAAAGTAGGCAGATCTATAATAAACAGGTATAGACACAGTGGGCATCAGGCGGCCGGCGCCCTAGACCCCAGCTTGCTCCCCACAGGAGAAATTCTCGAGCCCCCGACCCTCAACTCCGGCGCACAGTGACATCAGGACAGCACATTTGCCCCTCTACCGGTTACCAGTATTCCAATTTAACCCCATCTACTCCCCACTTTTTCTCCCCATAATTACCCACGCGCCCACCCTTCCGCCAGCCCCCTAGCTTCTCTAACCAAGACAAGCCGCTGCTGCCCTTATCTTAAAACCGCCACCCAGCTACGGACCATTAGTTACATATTTGAACCAATAAGAAAACACTTACCGGGCGCTGCTGTCACTCTCCCTCTTTCCCTCTCTCTCTGCCTCTCTCTCTCTCTCCTACTCTCTGTCTTTCTCGTCTTCCCTCATTCTGTGCCGCTGCCGAGCCTGTTTCAGCTCCACACACACACATATACTTTATATAAATTAAAATAAAAAAGAATAGTCCTGATCATCAAAAAGCCAAATAAAATTAAGGAGAGTTGCAGGAAGGGGTCTGGAGAGAAAGCTTAGGAGAGGGGAGGGGGAGAGGCATCTGCAGCTCCCTATCTCAACTCCTGCTCCTGCATTCCTCCTGCCCCTTGGGGGCCAGAGGGTCTGGGTAGGGAGAGGGAGATACCCTCAACTCCTGCCTCTCCCCTCTCATTACCGACCTCCCTAGGTGCCCCCACCTTCCGGCAACTCCACCTGGGAGGATAAAAATTAAATGGGGCGAAAATAATTATTAATCAGATTAATAAAAAAAATACTGATAATGAAGGCAGCGCCCAGCGCAGGTTTCCCTGGCAATGGTTAGGCTCTTACAGGGAGGACTGTTCTGCGGAGCGCTCGGAACGGACAAACCACAATAAAAAGTTCACGTTCATGGATGGAATCCACATGACTTCTTGTGGCCAATCCAACTTGTGAGTCGATCGTAAACTTTTATTACTCAGCTGTAAATTTTCTGCAAACAACCGGGAATGCGATGCATTTGTGTAGCGTGTGCAAATGGGCGCCGCGGTCGCCATGTTTACCCAATTCTCTCAGAAAGGGAGCATCCCCCCCCCACTCACCGCCCACTCCCCAAGGGCCCGCTGCTCCAGGCGAGTACAGAAAGAGCGGGGAGGGGAGGCAGGGAGGAAAAAGGAAGGGTTCAGAGCTGGGGGTCTGCTGCCTCCTCCTGCTGTGCCGAGTTTTAATATTTTAATATTTTCCTTAATAAATGGAGGTAATAAGGTTGGATCTGGGGGAATCAAAGCTTTGCAAAGATTTGTAGCCTTGAGGCAGTGAGGGTTGGTAAGGGTAAGGAACTGAAAAAGCATACCCTCCCTAACCTTACCATTTTTTCTAGGATGAGACCGACATCATTCTACTGGGGTTCCCTCACAAACTCCCCCCTCCACCCCAGACAAGAACAGTAGTTCCCAGGCCACTGACAGTCTCCCAACCAAGCCTGCCCTGGATGTCCTCTAAAGAGCCTAGAGGGCTAGACCAGCCCTGGACAGTCTTAGGAAAGCAGCAGGAGAGGTGAGAGTTTGGGGCTTCAGAACTCTCAAAGTAACCCTTATCTCCATGTCCATGTCTGAGACAGAATGACATTTCCCCCCAAGACCATCCCTAACATCTGGTCTCCTCATTTCCTAGGTCCTCAATAGCAGCTTAATCACAAACATTTTAGAGTTAACAAAATCAAAGCCCAAGATCTTGGTCCTCATTTCCTTTTTTTATTTTTATTTTTTGAGGTGCAAGGCAAATTTAAGCCTTTTCAATTTTGTCAGTTTGCCCACACCCATCTGCCTTTTTCAGAAAAAAAAAAAATCTGGTTCTGTATCCTAGCAGCTGGGAGGTGCTTCTGAGGCCTTGAAAGAGAAACATTTTACTGCCCTGAATTCTACCTTTGATACTAAAATTCCTAGCACCCCGTTTCTTTAGATCTCTAAATTTGGTGGTCAAATGTGGGAAATCCAGAATAAATTCCCCCATATAGACCAAATTTTGCTGCATTGCAGCCTAGCTACCTCTCTCCAATCACTGGAGATTTGAAGGCCAGCAGCTTTCCCCTTGGTCTAGCATGGAACTGACCTGGGACTCTCAGTGGCTGGGTGTCCCCACCCCAACCAACAGGGAATCCTTCATCCCTTCCTAAAACTTCCCCCACAGTAAGCAAAGCAGTTCCCTCAGCCTCAGCCGGATGCAGAGACCTCGTTTCTTTTTACAAACCCACCCATAAATTTTATAACAGGTAGTTAAAAATTACGAGGAGGAAGCACTGGCCCGGCTTCTCACAATGGGCAGCCTGGAGAATGGGATAGCGCTGCGGGCAGTTCACAGGAAATTTTACCTCTAGTCTGTGGCACAACCTGTCCTGAGTTCTCTTTAATTGGGGCTGGGGGTAACTTTCCCAACCACCAGGCAGGCAGACGGTGGGGCATCTAATTTAAGGAAGATAAGACTGGGAGGCCAATCTCACCCTCCCACTAAAGGATCCCCCAAAAGGTCTTTCAGGGAGCTCACTAAATCCCGTGGTTCCCCTGATTTCTCCAAGGCCGCACCTCCCTTGGCTTCTGCAATAAGGTAGTGGGGAGGGAAAGAAAATGTCGAGAGAATTTTTTTTTAATCCAGAGAAACGAATTTGCCCCCCAACTTAATAGCTACATTATCCTGTCTCTACTGTTGAGATTAGAATAATAAATTCAAGGCGAAATGAGCGAGATGCTTCAACTCAGCATTTTGAAAGATACTATTTTTCACAAATCACAAATAGCTTTCGGAAGCCACTTTGATTGGCTAATAAAAAAAGTAAAGAATGGGAGAAAGTCCTATCTGCAGCAGCCGAATGGTCCCCATTCCGGTAATGGGATGGCGGGAGCATTTGGGAGGACGCGTTTCTAAAGAGAGAGCATCCCGCTCGCAATTACATTACGGTTCCCCCATAAAACGGGTTTTTACCTCCTTTTCTTTCCAAACGAGAAAACAGAGGCGGTGGGCAGGAGGAGTGGGGAACGAGTGCTGCATGAGGGGCCGGCTAGGGCTCCCGGGGTCTGACCCTCTAGTTGCCCGACTTTTTGAGTGAAACCGGGCGCCAGACACACCCCGCCCTCCGACGCGACAGGCTTGGGGCCACGGACGTTGCAGAACACAGAGCCAGGGATGAATGGGGCATTTGGTGTGGGGAAAATGCGGCAAGGCCCTTTGGAGTCACTTAATGCAGGGCTCATCCCGTTTGGCTACTGGGCCAGACATTTTTATTAATAGCAATCATAATTCCACGTTTAAAAATGAAACAGCCCTCGGCCATCCCTGGGAGTACGGAGGGGACGCCTATGGGAAGGCCTGCGATCCGGAGCAAAATGCCCTCTATTCGGGCCTCCCTAGGTGGTAGCCGGGGTTCCCTGCAGCAAATGGGGTTACCTGGATGGCTCATCAACTCTCAATAGGAACCCCAGGTTGGGGCAGATTTTCCCCCGAGCTTCTGCTTAAAGCTGTCACCAGCTGCACCGCACCCTGTGCTTCCAACCCGAAGCCTGTCTCCAGGCAGGAGTCCCCTATGAACATGGCTTGACCCAACCCGGTACTTAGGACCACTTTTCCTAGGAGTCAAGGATGGGGACTCCAGTAAAGCAACCAAAGATTTGGCCTGAACCTAGATCTGTGAAAATCATTGACCAGGGGAAAGGGGTGGGTGTGTGAGACAGGGATAGCTGGCCTCAAAATATTTCAGTCTTTGGGGGTCTGGTATGGAAGACCAGAAGATCCTCTTCCCTCCCTATCTCCCCCCACCTCCTGACTGAGTCAGAAGTTTTGCATCTCTGGAATTTGGGATTATTTGACCAGAATCTTATTGGCATAAACAGACTTCTCAGTTTAGGACCCTCCAGAGAGAAGAGAGAGACTCTTTTGCCTCCAACTCTTTATTTTAGGGAATGGAGATTCCAATGGAGACTCCCCTTACCCTGCAGTGGTTGGGGTGGAGGACTGTCCTCTGAGTAGCTCCATACCCCCAGGCCAAGGGGTACACTACAGGGGCGGGGGGGCCAGCAAGCTGCCCAATTGCCAAGGTGAAGCCTGGAGCTGGCTTGAAACAGCCAGAAGAGAGGTGGAGTGAACATAAGAGGGCTGAGTGACAGTGATGACCCAGTGCTGACTGAATTTGGATTCTAGAATGTAGACCCAAGCTGGTTGATCTACCAGCTCATCCATTTCTTCTTCCCCTCTCATCTCTCCCAGACTGAAGCATCCTTATCCCCCACGCTTAGCAGCCTCTCTTTAGGCATCTTGCCCTTCAAGCCCTTCTGACAGGTCAGCTGCCCTGAGCCTCACACTTCCCCCACCCTGTTCACTATTCCAGTGCTGGGTGATGGGTGCCAGGGACTGGCTGCAAAGGACATGTGAAGATCAGAAAGAACCTCACTGCCTCATCCTCAGCCCTAGCTCCTGGGGGAAAAAAAGACATATCCATGGGAGGGGCATGGAACAGATTCTTTGTCTGGGCCCAGACTATAGCTGAGGAGAAGAAAGGTGAATGACTGAGATCTTTCTTCCCATTGGGGTCCTAACACCTAGAAACCCACTTTGGAGCATACTCAAGAGCATATTGATGTACCCTTTCTTCTTTCTACTAGTGAACTGTTCTTCCTCCTCCTCTCACCCTGGACACCAGTCACCTGCCCTTTCAGCCCAATCTGTTCTCTCCATTCTTACACTTTTCCCCAAGCAAGTTCCCCCATCCCAAAGTCAAATCAGTGGAAATCTGAGTGTTAGGAAAGGAGAAAAAGGAGGGAGGGAGTAGAGAATGGGGGAAGAACTGTGAAGAAAAAGCAAGTCATTTCAGCTTCAAATATTTTCTCCTTTTTGTTTTTTATTATGACTCACGTATACAATACAAAGTACTTGGACCAGGAACAGGGCTGTCGGGACACAAAATCTACATTCATAGCTGGACATAAAGACAAATGACCAAAAATTATTATTATAGATATATTTTTAACGTTTTTTCTTTCGAGCATGTTGCATAAACAGAGAATTCAAGACAGAGTTAACTATACATTCAGTGCAATTTAGTTCTACTCTACTGGGGTTAGAAGCACAATAAAAGCGCACAGGACCGGCGGGCTAGGCAGTCTCAGTTGTTGGGTTCTTCTTAGTGAAATAAGCAGCAACAAACGACAACAAAACCGCATTACGAATACTCTCAAAGCAGGATTTCTTTCTATAGGTAGTGATAAAATACGTTGGAGGTTTCTTTCTCTTTTTTTTCAGTTTTAATTTTTTTCTCTTTTTTTTCCTATAGTAGGATTTTTAAATTTTCTTTTTCAAGGTTATTGCAGGTTCCCTTTAGGTAGTATGTTAAAGATTTATTGTCAGTATTACTATTATTGTTATTATTATTTTCATGATTATGATGATTTCTGAGCGCTAGCACTGCTGCAGCTCAGAGGAAGCCGGGGCCCAAAAGAACAGAAATCAAACAGCGAAGGCAAGGAAGGCATGGGCCCGAGTGACCATGGGATGGCTAGGTAGGATTTCAGAGGTGACCATAGGCCTCTAGTGACCCTTTAGAAAGGGAGGAGGGAAGAGACCCACATCTCCTTCAGTTTTCCATCAGGTTCCTAGAGAAAGTCAAGGGGGTTTTCTAAGTAGGGAGCCTCAAGGAGGGGGAAGGAATATTCCTTGCTATCTTTTCCTGTTTCTTTAAAATTTTTTTCATTTATTTTCCTTTCCTTCCTTTTATTACTATTCCTTTCCTTTCCTTTTTTTTAAAGTAAATCTAGTACACCAATCCTAGCATAAAAGCAAAGCCAGGAGTCCTCTTCTGCATTTTTTTTGGGGGGGTTCCCCTCTAAAATAAATACCAGAGAAACAGGGAAGTGGGAGTATGGTGAGAAGGGGCAGAAAGAGGGGGTAAGAAGGCCAAGTCATAGACCTTAAAATTCAGGAAGGACTCAGAAGGTGGGAGTAGGGCCAAGTATGTGTGTTAGGGCAAGGAGTGGGACAGAGAGTCCAAACTTTTTGCTGTGTCTGGATCTCCCCCCTCCAGCCCCCAAACAAATAAAGAGGAGGGGGAGTCCAAAGGTAATAAAACCAGAGCTGCAAGTATCTGACAGGTAGTTAGAGTTGTGAGTGTCATTCTATTCTCTATAAAAGCAAATGACAGTCGTAAACTTCTCAATTTATCTGCTACCATAAAACGAAACTTCAAGGGAGTTGCTAAAAGGAGGGAATTTTTCTTTTTCTTTTTCTCTTTTTTGCTTAGTCCTTGTTTTCTTCCTTTTCCTCCTCCTCTTTCTCCTCTTCCTCATTTCCTTCTTCCTCCACCTTCTCCTCATCTCGGGCCCCAGGCAGTTTATCCTTGTTGTTCTCCTTTTTCCACTTCATTCTTCGGTTCTGGAACCAGATCTTCACTTGTCTCTCGGTCAGTCCCAGGGCGTGAGAGACTTCAATCCGGCGCTTTCGTGTCAAATAAGGATTAAAGAGAAACTCCTTTTCTAGTTCCAAGGTCTGATACCGGCTGTAAGTTTGCCGACCGCTGCGCCGCCCCGGAGCTGGACAGAACAGAACCCCAGTCTGGTTATGTCTGGGTGGGGGCTCAGTTTTATTTACCCTGCTACTCTGCCTCTCAAAGTCCCCACTCTGGTCTCCTCAGTTCGCCTCCCTCCTGCGGAAGAGGATAGAGCAGAAGGCAGGCAAGGGCAAGAAAGTCTGGGGGATTGTTTTGGTTTGGCTTCACCTTGGGAGATGGGGTGAGAGTAGGGGCAGGGACTAGAGGTATCTGGAAACTGGGGTTTAAAGGGGCCAGGGGAACCCTTCAGAGTCCCCCAGGCCTGCAATCCCAGGAAACTGGCTTTTGCAGCTTTGTTTACAAGTGCAGAATGGCATTTAGTGAGATGGGCTGGGGACAGAATCTGTTTCTAAAAGAAAGGAAAAAAGGCTGGGAGTAAGGGAGAGGGGCTCTGCCCACTGCCCCCTCATTGCCTCTCTCTGCCTAATGCTTTTCCAATAAGGAAAATAATTGATCTCCTGGAATGTATCACTGCTTCGCCTGATTGCTAACTGGAGACCAGCAAATAAATCAAGGGCCATCCCTGCCGGAACTTGTCGCTTTATCGCTTCCCCCTGTACTTCGAAATTGGGCTGTGAGGGGCCACCCTTGGAGGGGCTCATGACCTGAGAAGCTCTGTAGGTTTCAAGAAGACCCCACAAGTCCTTGATTGGAGGGTAACCTGGCAGGGTCCTCTGGACTTCAGAGCCCCTCAACCTGAATACCCCTCTTCTTTTGAGCACTTTCCCCCCTTCTCTTTTCTCAGGCTCCCTGTCTTCTCTTCAACTGGGGGAAGTACAAAAAAGTTGAGGTAATGGCCCTTGGGTTAGTTCTCTGAAAGGAGGCAGTGGGGACCCTAGAGAGCCAGAGTGTCTATCCTAGGGGTTTTCACACTCTCTGGCTAGGGTCTGGCTAGACCCAAGACAGCTTGGCCACTGTCTTGGACTGCAGACTCTTTGCCTTTGGAGAAACTGGTTATCAGCTCCAAACACTGATAACCTCAGGGTACTCAGGGTACCCTTCCCAGCCACCTCCCCAACTTTGACTTTAGAGATGGAGAGAGGGAGAGACAGAGAGACAGACACAGACAGAAATGGAGGAAATTATTTTTAACCCTTTGTTACCCCCACACCACCTTTTCCCCACCTTCACCCCAATTTCCAAAACGTCCCAGGCACCCACCTCCCAACAACCTCCAGAAACCCACCCAGGCATGGGGGTGGGGTGGGAGAGACCCCAAAGCCAGGAGGGAAAGCGAGGACAGACAAAAAGGCGAGGGAGGGGGAGAAGACCCCGGAGCGCGGGAGACCAAGGGGGAAAGAGAAAAGGCTTCTCACCGTGGGGTCTCATCCATGGAAACATGAGGCTGGGAGACGAGTTTTGATTTAAGTGGCCTTGTCCTTCGCTACTGTTAGTGTTGGCGGAGGATTTACAGTCGGGATATTGCACCACGCTCGCCTCTTGCTGAGCCCCATAAAGGGACTGTCTGGGGAGCGCCTCGTAGCCATAGAATTTGGAGGCGTCTCCGTGGCAGCTAAGCGAGCACGGGTTCTGCTGGTAGCCCGAGTTGGAGATGCCGGAGGTGCCGTGGTGGAAGAAGTCTTGGACGTGGTGCGAGGCGTGCTGGAAGCCGGGCGCCGAGCCGCCGGGCCCGTACACCAGCGCATGGCTCCTGCCCACACTCTGAGGGAACCGGCAGTCGTAATAGGCCGGTTCCAGGGACTCGCCGCCTTTGTATTTGGAGAACAGGGGGTTGACGAAGTAGGAGCTCATGCTGGGTA